GTGTTGTAATCATTTGAAAATAACCCGTGGCTATGAACAAAATCCTAAATTGTAACCTGGGCTGTGACTTGTGATATGAGTTGTGACATGGACTGTGACTTGTGACCTGAGTTGTGACCCGGGGTTGTGACTTGTGACCTGAGTCGTCGGAATCGGAGCAATCGCCGGAACGGTCACCGGAATCAGAGTAGTCGCCGGAACGTTCACCGGAGAAATCGCTTGTATCGAAGCAGTCACCGAAAAGTCACCGGAAAAGTTCATCAGACAGTCACCGAAAAGTCGTCAGAAAGTTCACCGGAAGTCGCCGGAACGGTCACCGGAAAGTTCGTCGGAGTAGGGCGGTGATCGGAACGGTCGCCGGAGCGGCAGGGGTGGTGAAGGTGGGATGGGTTAATTATATTGTATTAGAATTAAATATTTAATAATAAACTAATTTAATAATTTATTATTTCATAAATAAAAATTTTAAATTTTTTAATAAAAATCCGATTTTGGAAATTTCAGACTTATTTTCTTATTTTTGAAATAGGTTAAACTTATTCTCTTGAATAGGTAATCTTCCCCTATTATAATTGGACTGGTTGACTAGGGTTTTTATAAAATTGATTAAAATGTCTATATTATCCACAATGATATGGGTTTTCATTTATTACAAGGTATACCATTTTCTTATGTATATTTTTAGAGATTAGTCTCTTATATTTAAACAAATTCATTCTTTGATCTAATAAATTCGTATATAGTAAACATATTAGTTTAAACATCATAAATAATTTAAAGGTTAGTATTTCTTCTCTCTTGAATTTTATTATATAATTTCATTCTGATTTGTAGTATGTTAGAGTAATTTTCAATATATCTTTTTTACTTTTTATCAAGTTCTTCAATTGATGTGTTTATATTTTCAACATATTCTAACTTTTCTTCTATTCTATCAAGTTCTTGAGAAGTAAATTTTATTTCATCTAACAAATTATCTAATCATTTAACTGTATATACTGGCCTATCAGATATTATAATGATATAATAATTCAAACATCCAAATATAAACATTGAAATGATTAATCCCTATGATTCTTTAAGGTTTTAGAAAAATTATTTCTAAAT